GTATTAGTTAGGATCTGTTCAGGAAAACAGAGCCAGTAACTAGATGAAATTTAATATGGAGAACTAATTACAAATGGAATGAAAGAGCTAAAATGCCAAACAGAAGACAGTGAGACCACCCAAAGCTTAGCAGAAGAAGGAAGCTGTTTTCACCCGTAGGGCTGGGGGGTGAAAGGGAGGGTGGGGCTAGCCTGTGGGAGCCAGGAACACGGAAGAAAGGCATTCTCATGGGATCTGGGACATGAAGAAGAGACAGTTATTACCAGAGATATTAAGCACAGGGGGGAAATATCTTGGCTTCTCCTTTATCCTGCTATTCAATTTCCTGCCAATGAACCTTTTGGTGAGTCAGAAGCCCGTTGGCAAGGGAGCCTGGGAAATATAGTTTGCACAGTCAGCAAAGCAGAGGAAGGCTGGAAAATAGATGTGAGAGCAGATAAGCAAATGACCAGTCCAGGAACTATGTAATTCAGCTTCTTAATGCCTTGTAGCCTCAGTTTCCCCATTTGTAAAATGAGCATATTATACCTACCTCTTTGAGTTGTCAGGAGGATTAAATGACTTAACATATGTTTCAGTTGGGTTTTCTTGGTTGTAAGGAGCAGTCTCATTCAAAGAACCTCAAATAATTGGAGTGGAGGAGGGGATAGAATTATAAAGATCCCTGTGAAACTAGGAGTTAGAGGTCCGAGCCCAGGACTAAGCTTAGTAGTATATTGGTGAGGAGCCAGAGCAGCAGTCTCTGGGAGGAGGGGCAGAAATTACTGCGGAGCTGGGTCTCCTGGTGTCTGAGTCAGAAGGACTTTGGAATGTGGAGCACTCCTCTGGATCTCAGTGGTAGGAGTCGTGGAATTTCACTTTTCTTTTCTCCATTAACATGACTAAATTTCTCTATGGGCCTGGTTTCCTCTTTTAGCTGTCAAGTGGTGTCCTCATCCTCCTCTGTAAAACTTATACATTTTGTGATCTCAGAGTTTCTGCTTCCTCATGACTGTATCTTGATGTGATTCATTAGAGACCTTTGCCACTCTCTGTCTCAAGATCTTTCAGCTTTAGTTTTCATTGAAACTTGTTTATTTCTCAACATAGTTCCTGATCTAATTTCATTGGAACAAGAGTCATTTGGAGTCAGTTCTTTTGCATTTGGTAGAACTTTTTATTCCAGGCCCCTCATAGGAGCCCTATGGCTTGGATACCTTGGTCCTTGGTCCAGTGAGCAGTTTTGGAGGGAGTCATGCAGGGTGATATAGTCCAAAATATGGCTGCCCAGCACTGTCGCATTAGAAGGGGCTGTGGATGGGTAATAGCCTGGGGTTTTACTTCTGTCCCCACCTTCTCTGGGGAAGTTTGGTCCCAGAGCCCCATAGGAGTTAGAATGCCTGGTCACCTCTGCTTCCTTATGGTTCAGACCTCAGTGGTCCCACTTTCCACTTTTTCCTCTTCCTATTCCAGTACATAAAGATATTTATCTTGTTTTGAACGTGGCTATGCTTTTTGATTTTTATTTTCTATTTTACAAATCACAGCAATGCCTTTGGAGCAAAACAACGCTTCACATTTTGAACATGCAACACATCTTGACTAGAATTCATGCCAATAATTTCTAAAATTTATGACCCATACAAAGCTGGGAGTTATCAAATTCTTACAAGAAACTCTTAAGGAGAATAGGTGACCAAGTGGAGAGGAGGAAAGAGTTGAAGATAATCTTGCTCACAGACTGAGAGAACATGAAGATGTTGATGTCACTAAAGGCAACTGAAAAATTAGTGTTGTGAGGAATATAACTCAGGCACAGGTAGTTTTGGAGACTGAGGTAAATGTGACTCGTCTTTTGTTGTTGTTGTTAATCCTCACCCAAGGATATTTTTTCATTAATTTTTAGATAGAGTGGGGGGAGAGGGACATTGATGTGAGAGAGAGACATCAATTGGTTGCCTCCCGCATGACCCTGACTGGTGCTGGAGATTGAACTTGCAACCCAGGTAAGTGCATTTGACTGGGAATCAAACCTGAGACCGGTCTCAGGCCAATGCTCTAACCGCTGAGCCAAACCAACCAGGGCTGGACTCCTCATCTTAAAATCAGTAACCTTCTCTCTCATACACAAAATCAACCAAAAACAAAAAAAAACCAGGAACAACAATAAAAGCAATAAACAAGTGGGTGAGTGAAAATGTTGATGAAGGGAAAATGAGCTCAAAGACAGTTTTAGAACTGAGAGGAGGGTGAGACATTTTGTCTTAAAATCATCAAATCCTACTTGCTTCTCTCCATGATATACTGGCCAAAAATCCCAAAGCAACCAACAAAAGAATCAAGAATAAACTAGGACAAGAGCTATATGGAACCATGTGAGAAATGAACTACACATGGATTTATTACTACCTGAGCAGGGTTTCTAGGGAGAAAAGGATCACAGCAAAGGATTTCTCAGTGAATCTCAGTTTCTGCAGTGGAGGTGGACAGAAAGGAGAGAGAGGCAGACCTAATTTGTTCAGCTCTGTCCCCCACACTTCAGGGTCTGTGTGGGTCCAGAGGAGAGCCCCAGGCCGGCTGTGAATGAGGACATGGTCTTTCCTCAACCTCCTGTGATCTATCAGGACTTACACCTATTGCTTTCTCCACCAAAGCATTTGGGGACCCTCTCTCATTCTGGAAAGGGGGATAGGGTAAAAGGGAAATGAGAAAGGTCTGGCCTTGGCAGTCTCGGAGAGAGAAAAGCAAAACTTTCTAAGGATTAGCACGTACACTTGGGCTGTTCCTAGCCCCACACCTATTTCTACCGCTTTTCAGACTTATGGAGGGAACCCAGACTGATTAAGGAGTGAAGGAGCTATCTTCAGGGAGGGGGGATGCCCCTCATTGGAAATATTCTAGCTAGACTTGCTGACTGGAGAAAGAAAGGCTCATTCAGTACTGCCAGAAAAGGAAGGTCTTGGCTGACATCTGTGGGGTTGTTCTTATCTTCAGATCAGATAGAATATTGACTGGCTGCCTCCTGAACTACTGTCCTAGGGCTGAAGAGTGTGTCAGGCCTGGTAAACCAGAAGGAGCAAGTCAAAGTGAGTTGGCGTTAACATGGAGGAGTGGAAGGTTAGCTGGAGAGTCAAGGAACCCGGGACCCCTTCAGGGTTCTGAGACCCTCTCACAGTGTGGCCTGGATTTCTCTTTCCTCTTCAACAAAAGGAAGGATTGGACAATATTGTTTTCAAAGTCTTTCCAACTCTAATACTCATTCACATCGGTGGGGTAGGGGATGGGGACACACAGGGCTTAGAGAGTGGTTCAGTAGGAAGCTAGTGAACAATGTAAGTTTACACATCAGAATGGCAAAAATGATAAAGGGAAGAAACAACCCAATTTCTCTCTTCTCAGAAAGATCAGGAGATTTTAGATCTGATCTTATCCAAGTTGTTTCCTCTTTTCTCTTTTGAAAAAATTTTAAATCACACTATATTTTATTTTACTCGAAATCCCTTCCAGTGACTTGAATAGTTTGCCAGCCTCTGTGTAGCTACCGGTTTTCATATTTAAGGTGGAGCGCTTCATTTATAATCTTCTAGGTCTGGAGCTTACCTGTGATTGGAGGAGCCTAGGTCAAGCAGCTCTGTCCATATCCGTGCTACAAGGGCAGCTGGCTGAATGAGTGTACGGCACTCTTAGCTTCGATAGTGGAGAGTGGGTGATTCCCATCTATAGGACAGGGGTTCAAAATGTTCCAAAGGAATGGCAAGTCCAACACAGGTGGGTTCTCCTGTTCCTTAACCCTTGCACTTCTGCCTGTCTGCATACCAAATGGCAGTTTGGGTTGAGCCTTTGCATGGTGTTTCCACAACGGCAGCAGCAGTGGAATATCACTGTTCCTGTAGTTATTCACACCCCACACCCTCTCATTGTTGGTGATTCAGGTACATAATGTGAGTCATGCTGAGATGCTATTTCCATTGTTCTATAACATTTTACCTAGTTCATTATTTGAGGTATATTGGTTGCCTTCTTCTGCTCCTTTCTTATCATTATAATTGACAGTTTAGGATGGTGAATGGATGGGGAAATGGAAGAGATGTTGGAGTCAGGGATGAGTAATAAACACCCTCGTATTCTCCCAACTGTAAATATTGTGACCTCAATCAGATGACTCATGTTATTGAAAGGACCAAACATTTTTGAGATAAACAGAATTTAGCATCTGCCATTCCTCAAGTATCATAGAGACTGGACAACCAGGCATTGTGTCGCTTCCCTTGAAGACCCCTTCTCTTCCCCAACCCACTTTCTATTTAAATTTAGTATGAATAGGTACACAATGGCCTAGGAGGAATTCATATGACTTTCAAACCCAGAAGTTGAAATGGTCCAAAGGCTAATTTGTCATCCTTACTTTCAAAACTGTTAAAATGTATTATTTGTAGATAGTTATCAGAAATTGGGAGTATATTGCCCTCTTCCACACTTGTTTGACATAATGCTTTCAATTTTTACTCCTTGCTTAAAACTTTTGATCCTTGTTGAGATTTTATTTTATTTATTTATTTATTTATTTTTAATAAAAAAAATTGTGTTTACTTAGAAGCATTCAGAATGTCAACAAAACAGCTGCAACTTTTTTTGCAATTACAGAGTGGTATTCAGTTAACAGAACAACAATTATTTCGTATAAGCTGCATCAGAGACAACTTAAGATGAAAAAACTACCATCCCCATATATAACTAATTTGTGCTGTGCACCAACAAGAACCTGCTTTAAATTTCCATGCCAATTTACAACCCCATACTGTACCAGGCAAGGTTAGTGGCTATTGAAAATACCACCAGGACAGGGCTATCTAAAGACACATTCGGTAGTGTGTTAACTATACAAAAAAAGACACTGTACAGTTTAAAAACAAATCTTACACAGCCTTACATTTCAATTTTTTTTCTTTAAAAGGAGTGAAATGTGTACAGGGGGTTAAATGCTTTATAGACAAGAAAAAAAAAACTGCGCTAGAACCAACTTGTTCATCATCATCATCTTCTTTTTCGTCTTCTTCATCTTCCTCCTCTTCATCCTCTTCATCTTCCTCCTCTTCCTCCTCTTTCTTCTTTTTCTTGCTTTTTGCAGCCTTGACAACTCCCTTTTTGGCCACATCAGGCTTTCCTTTAGCTCGGTATGCAGCAATATCCTTTTCGTATTTCTCCTTCAGCTTAGCAGCCTTCTTCTCATAAGGCTGCTTGTCATCTGCAGCAGTTATTCCACATCTCTCCCAGCTTCTTTGCAACATCACCAATGGATAGACCAGGATGCTCTCCTTTGATTTTTGGGCGATACTCAGAACAAAACAAGAAAAAGGCCGAAGGAGGCCTCTTGGGTGCATTGGGATCCTTGAATTTCTTTTTTGTCTCCCCTTTAGGGGGGATATAAGTTTTCATTTCTCTTTCATAACGGGCCTTGTCCGCCTTTGCCATGTCTTCAAATTTTCCTTTCTCTTTAGCAGACATGGTCTATGGTCTTCCACCTCTCTGAGCACTTCTTTTTTTTTTAATCCTCACCCCAGGATATTTTTCCATTTTTTGTTCAGGTAGAGTGGGAGGGAGAGAGAGAGAAAAACATCGACGTGAAGGGACACATCGAGTGGCTGCCACCCGCAGGACCAACCAGGACCAGGGACAAACTGCAACCAAAGTACACGCCCCTAGTGGGAACCGAACCCGGGTCTCTCCGGACCGCAGGCCGACGCTCCAACCGCTGAGCCAAACCGGCCAGGGCTCTGAGCACTTCTTAGAAAACTCTGAGAAGTTGACTGAAGCATCTGGGTGCTTCTTCTTGTGCTCCTCCAGGCAAGTTTGCACAAAGAAAGCATATGATGACATTTTGCCCCTCGGCTTCTTAGGATCTCCTTTGCCCATGTTTGATTACTTTTCCTCAGCGAGCACACAGTCACCCAGTGCCCGTCCGGCTCGCACTTGCCCCGGCGCTGTCTCTGTGGCGCTCGATGTACTGCAACGGCTGTGAGAGCGGGAGCCAGACGCAGCCTCCTCACTCTCTCCGCTCTGCAACATTCCTTGTTGAGATTCTAAAAGATAGTTTCTCTGATAAAGTAAACTGGGGAGCTGTTAAAAATGCCTAAACCTGGGCACTCAAGATAATTAAATCAGACTCTCCAAGGCCCACCCTCCTACTGCCCTTCATTCTAACGTGCAGCCAGAAGCTGAGAACCACTGGTCTAGACCTTGAAAGCATTTGGATGGTGAATCAAAGAATATCCAGGTGGTGGCTCAGCTGGTAACTGAACTTGACTCAGACCAGACATGGGAAGGTACCAGATGGTCTAAAGATAGTGCAGGCTTTACAACTGGGGGGGATAAGATACTAACGTGGGGCTGTGAGGGGGCGAAGTGGTGAGGCTGCAGGGAAAGCTGGTGATTTTCTGCCAAGGTCACACGGTTCTATTCCCAAAGAAGAGTTAAAAAGCTGAATTTCACCCAAGGGTGAAATCAACCTTAAACACAGGCAGATGACTGTTTAAAATAAATTAAGCAAGACAGAGGAAAACGGCTCAAAGGGTGGGCCTTACCATGACCAGAGAGAGACGTACAGGGATGATAACAGGGGGACCTGTCAGGTTGTGCAGGACTTTGGTTTGGGCGGAGTGCTGTGAAGGTCATGTCCTGAGCAGTCGAACTCTCAGAAGCAGCAGGAGAAGCCTGATGAGACGTTGCCAGCCTAGGACTAGTGGTATCAGCTATGGGGCCTGTGCCAGCTGCTGCAGCAGGAGGGTCTCCCGGGAGCACCTCGTGGCATAATTTGGAAAGACTTCCTGGTTTCATTTCCTCCACACCCGATTCCCCAGACTTCCTAGGGATCCTGGTCCCTCAGCATCCCTTAATAAATCACTGTTGTGCTTAAGCCAACGGGTAAGTCTGTGTTTACAATGAAGGACTCTGAATGATACACATACGTTCTTATTTAATACTCATTCAATTCAACGGGATCAAATATATTAGTCCTATTTAGTAAAAAGGAAAGTGAGAAGCAGGGAAATTAAAAAGCTTGTCCAAGGCCAGACAGCCAAATGAAAAAAAAAAGGGCAAAACTGAAGTCAGGGTCCCATGTAAATGGCCTCAGAGCCCCTGCCCCTTCCCAGACCCGGAAAGAGGCCGCAGATGCTGAATAGTGGAGGACGGAATATCTTTGGCTTGGCATCCTTCCCCTCATGGTTCAGCCAAGGAAAATGATCTGAGGCTCAAGGGTGCCTAAACTTTGCTAACCAATGTCTCCCATTTATTGAAGTTATTCAGAGAATGTGGGCTCTACTGGATGCTTCCATGGTTTTGTGTTTTTGTAATTTGTGATTTCCTAGCAAAACGTCTTTCTGAAAAATTTCTTCCTTTCTGCGTTGAACTTGGAGGAGGAGATTTTTCCCACGCATCAGCCAATATTAGACTGGTCACCACATGTATGGCCTGAGGACCCAGTTTTAGAAGAGTTGGGGCAGGTAGTGATCGTCCTGGAGGGAAGAAACCAGGAGTCGCTGATGGCTCCTCTTCCTGGTGGCTGCTCACAGATGCCACCCACCCAGACCTCCTCAAGGAAAACATTTAGACCCAACGCCACTGTAGCAGAACCAGCTCTATCCAGCAAACCAACTCTCATTCTCCTTGGAAAGTCGCTGAATTTGAAAGCTGGAAGGAACCTTAGATGTCTCATTTTGCGTGTGAGAAAACTAGTCCAGAAGGACTTTCCTGAAGGCACACAATTAATGGCCAGTGAGGGTCATTGCTTTGGGTTGAGCACAACAGAAACGACAGAAGCACTTTATAATCAGAAAAAAAGAAAGCTTAAGAAAGAACATATGGCTATTTATGTTTTACAATTTAACTGGGGAGACGTGTACTGAGAGATGAGCGAGCATGTGAACTGTAAAAGTGCTGCAGGAATTCAGGGCTGGAGGCATCACAAAGGGGCAGGGTGGTCAGAACTGGCTTCAGGGGAAGTGGAGGGGCCACCAGAAGAGCCTGGCATGGGGCTATTGCCAGGGGAGGAGCAGAGAACAGCGGGCCCCTCTCTGGCTGGGCCTGGGGAAGGGGGGGGGGGGCGCTTTCCAACTCTATCCCTGCGCTAAAATCCTGGGTTCTGGAGGAAAAATGGGGAAGCCCAGGAAGGTGGTTGTGCCAGGTGATCCATAGCTGTCCCAGAGAGCGCAAGCAAGCCCTGGGTTACCGGTACAGAGCAGCTTAGGGGTTCAGGCGGGGCTCTTCCCTCCTCCTGGCTGCGAGAAGTTGGCTCTCGCCCGCTGCCTTCCTCGCCAGCTGCTGCTCTTGCAAGGCAGGCTCCGTGCGCACCAGGCTCCGCGTGCACCGAGGTCGGGCCTGCAGCGAAGGCGGTGGCCCTGCAGCCCGCCCTCTCCAGAGCCGCATCCGGTGCCGGCAAGTCCCAGTTTCATTATATACTCGTGCTTCCCATCCATCCAATCCCACCACTGCCGTTCATGCTGCAGGGGGAAAAAGACACTCTTCTCCAATACACTTGTTCACAGTAGCCACGATGTGGAAAGAACAGGCACGCAATATGAAACCCAGGAATAAGGCTGTTAAAAGTATGGAAAGAAACCAGACAAGTAGAAAACAGACCATATTCCAGAAAGCAGAATGGGCCTTGCCCTCGGGTTGCTGCCTGGGACTCCGCTGCTGGGGAGAAGGCTGGAGTCCCAGTTCTCCCCTGCACTGCCTGCCCCACCCCTTGCTCTCCAAGTCTTAGTCAGTTGTCCAAGCTGTTTTGATTGCCTTTTGCCTGTTGAAACTCTCACTAATGGCACAAGACCCTTCCAGGATAGAAAGCTTTATCCACTAACGTTTTCATTCATCCAGTCCACAAATATTTACTGAGTGCCTGAAATGGACCAGGAAGAAAGAGAAAATAAAGAATAAATAAGTGAATTAATTATATGTTAGGAGTTGATTTAAAGACATAGATTAGGGTAAGGAGGATCAGAGTGTGGTGGGTTCCAATTTAAAACAAGTGACCTGAGTAGACAGGAAACTGTCCAGACAGAAATGAGACGGAACAGATTGGCTGCCTCCACCTCAGGGCAGCCCCTCAGGGGGCTTTGCGTTCACAGGTTTGCATAAAGCTGGAGGAGTGTGAAAGGGTGGCTATCTGTACTTCTAGAATAGGGTGGGAGGTGGAGCATCAATTGTTCATATCTTAATGGAGCATTGTAGTTGGACTTCCCCAGCTTCCATTCCTAACCTCTGGAGATCTGGAAAAGAGTGTGACTTGAAGAAAGGTAGGGAGGAGGGGAGGGGAAAGATAATGAAATACAAGGAGTTCTGTGCTCAGATGGGCACGGGTCCTAAGGTTGCTTCTGAGAGAGAGAGAGTGTCAGGTGGGTCCAGCTTAGGGTAGGCACGAAGTTCAGGGACATATTTTAATAATCCTAAATTAGATTTTTCAATTGGGTTGATAATAACAATAATTAAAATTTAGCCTTGGCTGGTTTGGCTCAGCAGTTGGAGCATTGGCCTGTGGATCCGAAAAGAGTCTCTGGTTTGATTCCCATTCAAGGGGCACGTACCTCAGTTTCGGGTTCAAAATCAACCGCAGTCGGGGTTGGGCGGAAGGTAACCGATCGATTTCTCTCTCTCGAATCCATGTTTCTCTCTCTCTCTCCCTTCCTTTCACTCTATCTGAAAAGAAAAAGAAAAAGAAAAAGAAAACAATCCTCAGGGGAGGATAAAAAAAAAAAAAAAGGCTTTTTACTGAGTGCTTACTATGCAACAGGCGTTGTGTACAGGTTTCATAGGGAACCTTTTGGTCTCTGGCTTTTCTTCAACTGGAATATGAAGAGGTTCAGAACAGCCCCCTCATCCCCAAATGTGCCACTTTGGCATGTAGATCATTTTGACTTAGAGACCCCTGAGATCCCACAAGAAACTTTCACCTCTTCCTTAAAGATTTAAATTTGGGGCATTGCTCATAATAACAGTTATCACTGGAAATACTTTTCTGTCCTATCTATATGGCAGAGCAAACTTCTAATCACTGAACATCTGCTCTTCTCATCATCCTGCAATGATCTTCCGCCCTTCTGAAGCCCCAAGGTATCTCACCCCATCCTTAGCTCAGAATGCCGTGAACACCTCATTTTAACTGTCCCGGAACTTCTCGTGTATGTGGGGTCTCTGACTCCCCTGTGTGTGGGGTCCTCATACATACGTACGTAATTAAATCTGGTTGTTTTCTCTTGATAATCTAATCTGTCTCATGTAGATTTAATTATTAGACCCATCAAAAAAACCTAGAAGAGTAGAGGGAAGTTTCTTCCTCCCCCACAAAGGTCGTGTAAGCTCCGGGAGAAAGAGAACGTGTTCTGTTTCACTGCTGAGCCTGAGCCGGCCTGGCACACAGAGGGTGCTCGCTGAATGCACGGAGGATTGCTGTGGGCCTGACAGTGAGGCGCTCTCAGGCCCTTTCTATTCTTCAGGGTGTGGCAAATATAACAATATATCTCTTTCTCCTTATTGGTAACCACTCTGCATATGACTCCTCCCCTGGTTATGATAATGTTTCTTTACCGTGTTTGCCACCTTCACCCACCTGACAGTGAATGGGTGGGTAGAGGAAGAAAAAGGAGGATGAGGGGACAAGAAAACCTTATCTTGCCATCACCCATTACCTCATTTAGTTCTTCTTCTTCTTCTTTTTTTTTTAATGAATTTTTTATTTATTTTTTTGTTACAGATATTTTACCTTTTTACCCCATTGGCACCCCCCACCCCACCCCACCTCCGCCCCGTCCCCGGCTTAGTTGTCCATGTCCATTGGTCATGCATACATGCATATAAGTTCTGTGGTTTATCTCTTCCCATCCCCCCACCCCCTCACCCCCTCTTCTGAGGGATGTCAGTCTGTGCCCTACTTCCATGTTTCTGGGTCTACTGTATTCCTCAGACTATTATGTTCATTATATTCCGTATATAAGTGAGATCATGTGGTATTTGTCTTTTTCTGCTTGGCTTCTTTCACTTAGGATAAT